CCTGACCTCTGTTTGTGAAAATGATTGCGTATTTGCGGATCAATTCATTGCACTGTTGTCTTACCACAGGGTATGAGCCATTGCACCATCCCTGAGCGTCGGCAGAAGCCTGAGAAGGACGCAAGGGTGTGCACTGTGTTCTAAGAACGAGCAAGTGGATATTCAGACATCGGAGGACGACGAGCAACAACGTGAATTATGTCTTACTATAACCGAGAACTGGTGGTATTTTTTATTAAATACAAACTCTCGCAGAGGAACTACCCCTACAACCACATTGAATTTACAGAAGACACAAATCGGACTGATGCGGCGGAAGGGAATGATGATGAGGCGGCAGCAGGAATGACGAACCTCGTTAATGGCTCCCTAAACGGAACAAGTACTGGTTCCACTGGGACCCCACCAAGGTCCCCCGCTTCAACCCCCCAGCGTCAGACGAACGGGACTGGGGGTCTGGATGCTGTAAAGGAGGCGCTTCGCGATTCTGCCAACGAGTTTGAGCTGCGTTATTCCCAAGCATTCAACGACCTGTCCTCGCAGCTCCACATCACGCCTGCCACGGCATACCAGAGCTTCGAGAGCGTGATGGATGAGGTGTTCCGCGACGGCGTCAACTGGGGCCGCATCGTGGGACTGTTTGCCTTTGGAGGGGCTCTGTGTGTTGAGTGCGTGGAGAAGGAGATGAGCCCGCTAGTGGGAAGCATCGCGGAATGGATGACCGTCTACCTAGACAACAAAATTCAGCCCTGGATCCAGAGCCAAGGAGGATGGGTGAGTGGAAAGTTACTTGTATTTTTCTCCTACCCTGTTAGCTTTCTTCAGTTTGATCGCAAGCAGCCTCTAATAATAATTTGAGACCATAAACCTAAACAGATTACATATAGGTTTATGGTCTCAAATTATTTCCATCTCAAATTTTCCTGTTTGATCTGCAGATATCTGTTCATTGGATTTAAATCACCCTTGGTCAACCTTGATGTAAAAGAGTCTCTTTAAAGGACTCAACAAAGGAATAGTTTCCCAAAAATGAAAATTCTGTCATCATTTACTCACCATCATGTCATTCCAAAACCTGTAAGACTGGTTAATCTTCGAAAAAACTAATTAAGATATATTTAATGAAGTCTGAGAGGTTTGTGTTCCTCCAGTGATAGTACAGGTAACCAAAACCTCCAACATCCATAAAGGTAATAAATCTGTTGTAAATTGAATCCACATGAATCAAGAAGGTCAAGGATTTTCTAAGGTTTAGTTGCCTGAACTTTCAATGGAGGGACTGAACATTCTCAGGTTTAAAAAATAAAAAGGTAAAAACAAATTTTTTTTTAAAAATATCTTAATTTTAGGTTTGAAGATTAAGTCCTATCGGTTTGGAACAACATGAGGGTTAGAAAATGACAGAAATGTAAATTTTTTGATGTATCCCATTAAGATTTTTTTTTTTTTTTTTTTTTTTTGGGTTTC